TAGTGTGATTATTCCTTTGTTAATCATTTAAAGAGCCTTCCCCCACCCAGGATCACTGACTTCGATTTTTTAGCGTAATGTCAACAAGACCTATGATCCTTTGATATACCTTTCTGACAGTTGACACTGCAGAATTATCAAAGAAAAAATTGTGTTTTACAAGCTAAATCTGATTATGCAAAGGGATACACAATAACACCTCTGAATATGAGGAATATCACTAGACATCACATTGGTGTAGAGATTATAGAACAAAACTACATTTGGGTTTTTACCTCATGGCATAAGAATTGGCCAACACTTTTAAAAATGTGTCTTTTTCCCTTTTAAAAAGGGCCACTGAATGAAGATAGAAATTAATTTGGACTTCACATATTGTATGTGCTGTTAAAATGATGATTAAAAAGAAAGTAGGGATGGGTAGATTGTCTTGGGAAACGTCCTAAAGGGTCTAAACCATGCTCCCTTTACAGTCATTGTGTGCGTGCATGGTTTCTGTAACCATACCCTGGGTTCCAAACTTCCACCAGGTTACTATGCTGTTGTGTGGCCCACAATAGTTTTCTTGGCATACATGAGCAAACAGGAAATAGAAGATGTCTCCTTCCTGTATAAAACTTTCTTTGCTTAGGTAAGAGAGCATACATCAGAGGAACCATTTTGGCTGGACAGATGTATGGAATAGCATTTAGCACAGCAAAAAGGAGTCAGGCCAGATCACAGAATCGGATGGAAGAATGCTGCTACTAATACAGATTAGTGGCAAACTTGCAGTCAAATACATTAATCAGGTTTTAAAAGATAATAGGTTTTTCCAAAGCATAAACTAGCTTCTGTGCAGAGTCTCAAGAACTTTCAAAGCTCAAACTGAATTAGAACGGAAGAAAATTGCTTTCTTCGAGTTATTGTCTTTGACTCCCTCTTAGTCACAATTTGTTTTTTTCAAGGGAGAAAATAGAATTATAGGAAGAGGGAAGAGAAAGAGGGAAAAAACATGTCTCTGGTTGGTTGATAAAAATAAGAAAACAAAAAATATACTCTTTTCCTCTTCCTCGCTATTCTGCATCCTTAGTGTCCTTGTAGATATTTTCCTAATCTAGAAGCTGCTAATTAATCACAGGCAGTGACTATTAACGGGGATGCACGGCTTGTGTACTGGATCCTCTTAATTGGTACAGGTTAATCCCTTCATGGGTTTTCTTGCCCTTTGCCCCTGAAATATTTTGTGCTGGCCAGCCTCAAGAGACAAGATCCTGAACTATCTCAGCCACTGGTCTAACAATTAGTTTGTATTAGAAGGCGGGGGAGGCAATAGGGTGAAATTCACCACAATATTGAAGGCTTACAATGCTCTGTGCACTACTTAAGACTTGTATGAAGGATATAAGTGGTGCTTAGGGACTTGGTTTCTTCTATTTCATTATTTCTGACTGCAGGTCAAGAAAGATTTGATTAGTTTCTATGTTTTTCCACATCTAAAACCAGATCTATGCAATAAAGCAATTGTACTCCAAAAAGTTGTCAAGCACGAGTGCAACATACAATATCACAACAATAGGCCAATCACGGTTCAGTGTTAGGTTGCATTCTCTATTTTTGGCTGTAGGACTAGGTAACCATGGTGACTGCAGTAGCGCTGCTTCTGCATATACAGATTATAATGGAAACTCTACAATTGCCAGCACTCACAGCCATACTGCCTCCTTAACCCAAAAGGAGAACATACTCTCTTGCATTGACTACACTGTATACTAACCGCGGGGTAAGTAGGCATGCTTGTCAATGCGTGGTAACCTGCCTCATTACAGTGCTAACCTATTTTGCCATCACACCTCACAACTGCGTTGGCACAACAAACAATGAACAAAACAAGAAGTACAGCCATCTGGGCCTAGAGCCTGAGATTCATATTGCTACAATTCCATGTTTACACACTATGCTCATATTCACAACGTGGTGTTTTTGTCTGTTCACTCTCAGATTATGGGAAGAAAGGGCCTAGAACAGCAAAACAAAACAAAAAATAGTCCTGCAAAGGCAGAGGTGGTGACTTACTGCTAGAAGAAGCATAACAGTTACAGACTATGACAGGAGTGACCAAACGTACTGACCCTCCAAGCCATACACAATAATCTTCAGAAGTTTGAAAGCCGAGACGTGCATAATCTGCCCACAGGATGGCACCTGCCAGGGTACAGGACTTCTGCTGCAAACCCTCCCCCACCCCTTCCTCCGCCTCCCTGGCTTTGGGGCCAATGTACAATGATTCACATGATTAAACATCAGGGAGAAACTGCAAGCAGGATAGGACTGAGGATATTGATATGAGAGTAGACTGCTCCCAGTTAGGGATCAGAGGTGGAAAGGGTAGATAGCAACTACAACAGGAATGGGAGCTTGTAATGGTTTGGAGGTCACCTTTGTGTAGTGGCTGTGGTGCTGCAGGTGAGTCACTGCCTCAGTTTTCCCTTGGCCAAAGTATAAATGAGTTAACGTAGACTTCTAGTGTTAAAGAATGCCCCTTTGGACAGAAAGAGACAAAGAAAACTTAAGCCAGCTACTTCCACCAGACACTCTCCACCTGTTGATTATAAGAATGACCATACTGGATCAGACGGATGGTCCATCTAGCCCAGTATCCAGTCTTCTAACAGGTCAGTACCAGGTGCTTCAGAGGGAATGAACAGAACAGGCAATCATTGTGACTGATCCATCCCCTGTCATACACTCCCAGTTTCTGGCAATCAGAGGTCAGGGATACCCAGGGCATGGAGTTGACCACCTTGGCCAATAGCCTTTGATGGACATATCCTCCAAGAACATAGCTAATTCTTTTTTGAACATTGGTATAGTGTTAGCTTTCACAATATCCCCTGACAATGAGCTCCACATGCGGACTTGGTGTTGGGCGAAGAAGTACTTCACGGTGTTTGTTTTAAACTAGCTGCCTATTAATTTCACTGGGTCACCCTTAGTTCTTGTGTAACACGAAGGAGAAAGTAACATGTTCTTAATTCATCTTCTTCACATTGTTCACAATTTATAAACCTCTGTCACAGCCTCTCTTAGTCATCTCTTTTCCAAGCTGAAAAGCCCTGGTCTTTTTAATCTCGCCTCATACAGAAGCTGTTCCATACCCTTAATCATTTTTGCTGCCCTTTTCTGTACGCTTTTGAATTCTAATACCTTTTCTGAGATGGAGTGACCAGAACTGCATGCAGGTGAACCATGGATTTAAATTGAGGCATTATGACATTTTCTTTTATCATCTATTCCTTTCCTAACAGTTCTGAACATTCAGCCTCCTGGTCTTGCCCCTTTAAAGCCCAGGTGCTCTCAAATGGAATTTTCTGACTGGCACTTGTTTGGGCCTCTGCTGGGCATTTGGCTGATTAACAGTCCCCCCAAGCCACCACACCTCCACTCTTCATTAAGCCAGTCCCTACTAGTTGCCCAGGAGGTCCTACACCCTGTTCATTCTCCTCCGTTGCTCCAGTCCTTATTCATATGGATTCCCATAAATGGCCCTGTTTTCTACAATAACTGAGGGCTGGTATTTACACAACAGGAACACTTTATGAGATTATTACAATGGCACCAGTCCCAAATTAATTAAATTGTGTGGCTCAGTCTACAGACTCACTGCCTCTTCCAGCTGGTTCAATATTTCTTAACATCATTATAATTTTTTAAATCTACTGATGGGAAAGTGACTTTTACACCTCTTGTAAATGTAAGGGATGCTTTAAAATTCAAGCTATTGGCGGCCATGCCTTCCCTCCCTGCAATTACTGGCTCTGAAAGTCTCTTTTACCTTAAAGGGCACTGTCAGGAGGGCAAAGAGAATGTGATTAAAAAGGCACCATTTTGTCCAGTAGATGTTTAATGTTCTATGTTTTTAATAATCCTATTTTAAAATTTTGTTTTAAGACTAAGACAGAAGAAATGAGAGCGGGGTTCAGTTAGCGGTGGAGTAGTGTTTTCATGAGAAAACACTATTTTGCAAGAATTTCTAGCGCTGTCATAAAAAAAAGAGGTTAAAAGCAAGTGGAGAGGTCTTTTTTATAGGGCTGTTGAATTTGAGTACAAAGTTAGAATGCAATGTAAGGGTTCCTTCCTTCCTAGTTATTTATTTAATTGCAAAACTCACCATTACAAAATAAGCGCCAACAACCCTAAAACAGAAGCTATTTTCTGAGACACTATATAAGGCCATGGCCCTGCACTGCCGTTGACTAGTAGCACTCCAGATATGCATTGCTATCCACACTAGTTGGCTGCCTTTATACGGCTGGCAGGTGCAGGTTTATATCAGGCTGCCTATATTTTTCACACAATGATAAGCAGCATAAAATGGATCCACGGTTACCCTTATGGAGATACAATTTTTAAGTGGTATAAATTCAGCCTTCACCCATCAGGATTCAGGGCTTTGCCTAATGTCCAAGTTTAAGGCAGCACTTTAACATGACAATGTGGTCATGGCACCAGCACTGGGAGAAAGCTCTAGGTAAGCCACCTCCATGAGGGAAGTAGCTAACTGTACTGGGAGCCTGTATACACAGACACTTTACAGCGCAGTAACTTGCTATGCTCAGGGGTGATGGTTTTTCTCAGCCTTGAGTGAGAAAGTCACAGCACAGTAACTTGCCAGTGTAGACAAGCCCTAAGAGACTCTGTAACCATTCTGGATTCTGCAAATGCTGAATAATAAAGAACAACCTAACATGGCTACCTCTTGCTACACCGATCATTTACCATTTCTATTGGAAACCATTTCTGAAAACAAATCTGAGCCTTTCCTGATAGCTGCAAAAGCTGTTAAAGCTCTTCACACATTTACCCCTTCCCAGAAGGTGTTTGAGGATTCTGACATGGAAAAGAAATGTATGTTTGACTCATCTTTTTTTTCCATTAGGAAGAAGGCTACAATCACTTCTGAGAAATGAAATAGCTATTTTCAAGAGACTTTTTATTTTTCTTTGCATTGCCTGGGCAACATGGGCTCAGAGAAGAAAATTTATACCTTTAAACAAAGAGTTCACCAGTCTTTGAATTAATGTAGTTATTTTATTCCCACTTAAACAATGCATGAATTGGCTAATGAAGAGACTTAAAAGCTTTTTGATGACACAGATAAAAGAAGCTGTGGAGGTAGATCAGGGTGTCTGATGATCCTATTCATATTTCCAATTTAACTGATTTTTAATCAAACCCCTCTCATCTGCATTCCCTGCTTATTTTACTTTTCCCTTTCTGCAGTGTGGCCTTGTTTCCTGACCTTTATCTCTGTATAAACACTATTGTTTCTAACGCAGTTATCATGTGATAGTAGGATTGAAGTCCAAAGTAAAATGCTCATTACCTCCACTGGGAATGTGTTTCATCACTTTTAAAATATCCATAATTCATTAGCCTGGGAATAAAAGTCTCCCTTAAATGCATTCCTGACCTTTATATATTATGTGGCATCTTTAGAGAAGGAATTTCTGTTATATTAGGGAACAGATGATTCATGCAAAATCAAAGCCTTTAGGTTGTTCCCAGCATACAACAATAGCATAGCAATGCATTAGCTAATCCCTTGTCATTCCTGAATTGGTACAGGCCAAAGCTGCGAGAGTTCCAGATGGCATAATTTTGAAAGACAGAGCTCTGAGATGAACCAACATTGTGTCTGCCTTATAATCCCTTCTTGGCTAATGTGGTTGACTGAGGTCTGCTCTTGCTGCATATGACTGAGCAAAGGGCAGGACTCCATGGCAAAAAAATTAGATTATCTGCATATAGTTTAGGTTGGAAGAGGCAAACTAGTGGTCTTTTATCTTCTTCCTCTCTGATGTCTTCCAAGGTTCCCAAGCTTTTCCTTTCTTTCCTTGGTGTTTCCAGTTACCATATTCTCCCCTTCTGCTTCTTAGGATCCATCAATAGGCCTTCCTTCCGCACTCCAGTCATACCTGTAAATATCAGAGAATGGGCACCTTGCCTGCTCACCTTCTTACAGCACTGGGAATTACAACACGCCTGCAACACTAGCCTTTTAACACACTGCAGTAAAGATACACAGAAGTGCAGGGTTCCCAATATTCTAGTCTATTCTATTCTGGGTATGTTTAACATAGGAACATAAGAACGGCTATACTGGGTCAGATCAAAGGTCCATCTAGCCCAGTATCCTGTCTGCCAACAGGGGCCAATACCAGATGCCCCAGAGGGAAGGATCACAACAGGTAATCATCATGGGATTACCTGTTGTGATCCTTCTGTCATCCATTTCCAGACAGAGGCTAGGGACACCATTCCTACCCATCCTGGCTACTAGCCATTGATGGACCTAACCTCCATGAATCAATCTAGTTCTTTTTTGAACCCTGGTAAAGTCCCAGTCTTCACAACATCTTCTGGCAAGGAGTTCCACAGGCTGACTGTGCGCTGAGTGAAGAAAAAATTCCTTTTTTTTGTTTTAAACCTGCTGCCTATGAATTTCATTTGGTGATTCCTACTTTTTATATTGTGAGAATAAGTAAATAACTTTTTCTTATTCACTTTTCCCACACCATTCATGGTTTTATAGACCTCTATCATATCCCCCCTTAGTCTCCTCTTTTCTAAGATGAAAAGTCCAAGTCTTTTTAATCTCTCTTCATAGGAGACCCATTCCTAACCCCTAATCATTTTTGTTGCCCTTTTCTGAACCTTTTCCAATGCCAATATATCTTTTTTGAGATGGCGTGACCACATCTGTATGCAGTATTCAAGATGTGGGCGTACCATGGTTTTATATAGAGGTAATAAGATATTCTCTGTCTTATTCTCTATCCCTTTTTTAATGACTCCTAACATTCTATTTGCTTTTTTGCTTGCCACTGCACATTGAGTGGATGTTTTCAGAGACTATTCACAATGACTCCAAGATCTCTCTCTTAAGTAGTTATAGCTAAATTAGTCCCCCTCATATTGTATGTCTGGTCCAAGAGATTTAAAGGGCATGTGCAACAAAGCTAATGAAAGTTTGTCCTGGTCCTGATGCTCAGGGGCTGGGGTAGGAAAACAAGTAGCTGCCTTATATCCCAAGATAGTTATCGGGGGGCGGGGGCGGGGAGGATTTAGGACAAATGGAGTGGCTCCCTGGGAAAGAAGGCCCGAAGATCCAGAAGGGAACCAGTCAGATACCCTGTAAAGATATTGGGTATGAAGGGAAGGCCATCAGACCACCTTTTTTCCAGAAGTAATCCAATAGTTAAGAAGCCTAAGTCCTAACAGGGGAGAGAGATTGCATACGGAGAATAATTCTGCCCGGCTAACATCTTTCTTCTGGGGGTAGGTTGTGGAGACATAGACCAGTCAAACACCCCATTTGGGAAAAGGGAAAGTGGACACTAAGGATGCATCTATACAGCATCTTAAACTCAAAATAAGATACACAAGATACCTCCGGTGTCCCAAAATCGTTGTGCAGTGTAGACGTACTCTAAGGAAACATCTCTCACCTCATCTCAGTTTTGGGGCCAGGGCAAGGGAGGCAGCAGATGGGACAAATCTCATTTTCAAAACTAGTTCTAACTAGCTTTGTTTCAGGAACTGCATCAGAGACAGAAATACATTTTGTTTACTTCTGATTATGGGTGAAACACTTTGTGCCTGATTTTCAGAGAGGCTAAATTATGTAGCTGACACGGAGGTCATCTATACCTCTGAAAATCAGTCTGTGATGGGGTTTGACTCACCACCGTGGGCCCTCCTGCTGGCCACAATGGGAATTAACTCTGACACTGAGCAGGGCGTTCTCTTCTGGCTGGCTTCTTGTTGTTGCCTTGCCAGTTCTCCTTGGACCCATGTTGGTCTCAGGACTGCAATATCCTCTTTGGGACAATGCCCACTAGTCCAATCTCTTGCCCCCTTCTGGGGGGTTTCAGCAGTCCTCAATTGATACACCTGCCACTGTGCCCAACTGCAGCACCAAAGTCTAGCCCCTTGCCTCAGGGGCAAGCCACAGTCTGTACAGGACACTCTCCTTGGTGGCAAGTTGTGGTGAGGGAGTAGAACCCAGGCCCACCCACTACTCTGGGTCCCAGCCCAGTGACCTTCGGGTGGCGGCCTTGTCCTGCCTCCCTTCACTCTCCCTTAACTGCTCAAGCTCCCTTTCCCTGCAACACTCCCCCATGACTCTTTGCACCTCTTTGGTCCCTGTATCAAGACCACACCTTGAGAAGTATCAGACCAAAACCTCTCTCTCTAGCTCTCCTTAGCCTGCCCAGGACTGCTTTGTTCAAGGTGATTCTCCTTTGCTGGGTGCTGGCCTGCACCCTTGCTGGTCAAAACCCAACAGCTCTCTGCTCTTCTGAGCAGCTTCTTATAACAGGGCTGCCCCAGCATTTGCTCTCCGATTGGCTCCCTACAAGCCCTTTTCTGATTGGCCAGGGCTCTATGAAAGCTCTCTCCAGCCTGCTTTAAGCCATCTGGCCAGAGTGGGACAGCTGCCCCACTTGCACAGGCATAAGGAGTTTCAAAGTTGGGCACCCAAATGCTTGGGGCACAGAAAATCAGTGAACACTTTTGGTTGCTGTTTCGTGCATCTTACTTCTATGTTGCTGCTGAAGTTTGCATCTTTACAAGGCTTTGTTTTACTCTGCTGGAAGAGGCTATAGAACCGTAAATAATTATCTTAATATTATTGAAAATGCTTTTAGTTCTCTTTGGTTTTACTGGGGAACAGAGTGCTTTTCCTCGATATTGTCTCTTTCATTCCCTATCAATCACTTATTTTTATTTAATTGATATTGTTTTAATATAGAGTAAATTAGCTAGAGCTTTCAAAGGTAACTTGGTATTTTTTGCTGTACGTACAAAGATCTTATGAAGAACAACAGAAGAGATTTAAGGGAAATAGAAACTGAGATATGTATGGCTCTGTTGCATTGTTTTCATTCTCAATAAGTCGGTTGGTGGAGAAAATGACAAAAATGTGTATTGTGGATGGCAGAGCAGCAATACCATACAAATTGTGCCCTTTTAAAATTAAAACCTATGTTCTTTTATACAAGATCTTACTGTGACTTAATTTTCTGTTGAAGATAAAACATCAGTTGGTAAACATGTTGTTATGTCATATGGATTCTTATCTCATAATATCTTTTGAATCAGTGGTGCCAAATGCCCAGCCTCTGGGCTGTATCCAGTCTGCTGAAAGTATTGATCTGATCTTCACTCAGACAGGACAGAATACGAGATTTCATTTTTTTAAAAGACAAATCTCTAGCCCTTTCTGTTGCAAAGAAAACTCGCCATATGTAAGCCAAGTGTAACTGATACAAAATCAATGCAGAGGTTGTCTGAGAGCATAAAACAAAAGCTTGAAGAAAAATGAACTGCACTCTTTCATCTCAGTGGACTGAAGACTTGAAAGCCTTAAACAGGCACATAATGATCTGTATTTTAAATGTAGTGCACCTAATTTGCACATTTACCAGAACGTCTTATGCAAATTAGGCAAATGCATGTGCAAATGACCGAGTAAACATAGGGCAGACATAGTAATGGTTCTAACAGTACTTTGCCTTATTTTTTCCCCAAGGAAAGATGATAAATGCAACAGTAACGTTGCTAACAAAAGTAATGGAGAGGTAGCCGTGTTAGTCTGATCTTGCTAAAACAAAAGGAAAAACTACGTAGCACTTTAAAGACTAACAAGATGGTTTAATAGGTGATGAGCTTTCGTGGGCCAGACCCACTTCCTCAGATCATATTCTGGAAGAGAATTGGCATGACCATATATACCAAAGGGATACAATGAAAAAAGTGAACACATTATAAAACTGACAGAAGGTGCGGTGAGGGGGAGGGAGGTAGAGCATAGAAGAGGCTTTTCCGAAATTTGGCCTGTCTACACAGGGCCAAATTTCAGAAAAACCTCCTCTTTTGGAAGAGCCCTTCTTCCTTGTTGCATGAGGAAGACAGGGCTTCTGAAAGAGCATGTCTGCTCCAGACGCATTCCCTGGACGTGGCGGAGTTTTTCCGGGATACCAAAACTCCATAGTCTAGACATAACTTCTGAAAAAGATGTGTGGGTCATAGTGGACAAATAACTCAATGGGTGCTCCCAGTGTGATACTATGTCAAAAATGGCTAATGTGGTCCATAGATGTTTAAACAGGATGGTAGTGAGTAGGAATAGGGAGATTGTTTTACTGCTCTATAGGGCATCAGTGAGACCACTATTAGAATACAGTTCACAATTCTGGTGCCTACATTTTATAAAGGATACTGAAAAATTTGAAAGGTTACAGAAAAGAGTCACAAAAACGATTTGAGGGCTGGAGAAAATGTCTTACAGTGAGAGACTGTTTCTGTTTCTTATCCAAAAAGTCAGAGATAACTTGGTTACAGTGTAAGTACATTAATGGGAGGGAAAATATCAGTGGCTAAACAGCTCTTTAATTTAGCAGAGACAGGCAAAATGGAACCAATGGCTAGAAGCTGAAGCCAGAACAATTCAAATCAGAAATAAGGAACAGTTCTTTAACAGTGGGGGTGACTAACTACCTGGACAAACTACTAAGGGACATAGGGGAGTTTCCATCTCTTGATGCCTTCAGGTCATGACAGGATGCTTTTTTGGAAGATATGCAGAAGTTAGTGATGCAGTACATAAGTAACTGGGTGAAATTTAACAGCCTAGAATATAACAGGTTAGACTAGATCTCATGGTCCCTTTTGACCTTAAAATCGATGGACAAAGACCATAGTCATGGAAACACTAATGCATGGGCTTAATTTTACATGAGTCATTTCCGGGCTCATCTCAATAAAGCTTAGTAGGACTGCAGGATCGATGCTTATTTGTTACAAAAGTCCACGAGGAATAACGGAAGTTCGAATTAGAGATCCTAATTCGAACTACCTACTCCGTGCTGCGTGTAGCCGCGGGCACGGAGTTCGGACTAAGGGGGATTTAAAAATGGCGGCACCCGGGAAGAAGCAAATGAAGCCCAGGATATTTAAATCCCGGGCTTCATTTGCAACTCCGGTTGCCCTCATTTGCCTACTTAGCTCGAACTACCGAGCTACTGTAGACATACCCAAAGCTCTTTGGAAAGGGACTGTCTATCTAGGATAATGGATCCTGGTCCATGATTAGGGCTCCTAACCTGTACAGTAATACAGATAATATGCAATAGGAAACTTAACTGGGAAGCTTCATGTATTGGGCTTACAAGGCTTGAAATTCTGCAGCTTGTGTTATATAGAAGGTCACAGTGGATGATTTAACGGTCCATTCCAGCTTTAAAATCAATCGATCTATATACTGATGGATCTGTGTCCTAAATATTAAGTGCAATGTATATATATAGTGTCACCTCTATACACAGTTAAACTTATTAATGCTATTTCAAGAATAGGCATTAATCACTGTTGGTTTTATGGACCAACAAGTTGATATCACTTAACACTTTCCTCTCTCCGTTTTTTCCCATCTGTAAAATGGAGATAATCATATTTTCTGTACATCCCAGGAAGGCAAAACTATCTTAAAACCCACACCATTTATTAATGTGCCATAGAGGAAATGAACTCTTTCAGGAAAAATCCTGTTCCATTCACATTTATACCTTTGAAAAATTCTGTCTGATGTGATATTATATAACTCCAAATCTATGTACAATCTGTTTTTTCCTGTTGCCCATTGCTCTCTCCCTGTTACGCAGCTACACTAATCACTTTACTGTGCTGTAACTTTTTTGCTCAGGGGTGTGAAACCTCCCCCGCCTCGAGAGCAGCAAGTTACAACATTGTAAAGCACCAGTGTAAACAGGCTCCCACCACTGTTAGCTACTGTAGACTAGACTACAGGCTTTTCTCGACAGAGGCTTTGTCAACAGATACTGTTGACAAAGCTTCTGTCAAAAAAGAGTGTCTAGACTGCATTACGCGGATCAAAAAAATCGATCCGCTTTGTTGAAAAAGAACGTCCAGACTGCCGGACGCTTTGTCGACAAAAGAAGGCACCCAGAAGTGCTGCTGCATGCTCTTTGCAGAGACGCATGCTTAAAGGGATCCTCCTGGACAGCTGTTGCTCTGCTCCTGCTTCTGGCTTGCCTACCTCCTAGAGGGAAAGCAAAGCTGCTGCAGTTCTTGCTTTGGTTGCCCTGCTTCCTTAGACACCACAGCAGTTTATTTTCAGGTTTGTTTTTGTGCTTTGCACTGTGTTTTTGGCCATGGAGCCTGAGCTGCCCCTGGGCAGGTGATGGCCCCACACCATGAAGCTGGAAGTTCTGCTGCATCTTCATGAGAGCATCATGACATTTGTGCCAGAGCTGGATTCAGAGCCCAGATGCAGCCCCACTGCCCTTGCCTCCAAACTTCTTTGTGGACAGACGTTTTTGTAGGCTTGACACCAGCTCTGACTGGTGGGACCAGCTCGTTATGGAGCTCTGGGATGACCAGGAGTGGCTCCGCAACTTCCGGATGCAGAAGGCCACTTTCCAGGAGCTGTGTACTTGGCTTGCCCCGGCTCTGCAACGGCAGGACACCCACCTGAGGCCTGCCATCCCCCTGGAAAAGAGGGTCACTATTGCTCTGTGGAAGCTGGCCACCCCCGACAGCTACTGCTCTGTGGGATGTCAGTTTGGCACGGGGAAGTCTACTATCGGGGACATTGACTATGAGGAGGCCTCAATTGAAGGATTTGGACAATGAGGTTTTATGTAGCACTAGTTGCGAATTTTCCATCAGAATGACGTTCCAATGGAAAATATGGTTTCTGCTAACCTAAAAATTTCCATAAGGAAATTTCCGTTGTTTCAGAATATTTCATTGGGTGGGCAGATAAGGGGGACGATCAGAACTGGGCACAGGTGATGGGGTGGGAGTGGTAGAAGCCTGCCTGGCCTCACCCTGTGGTGGTGCGGGAGGCAGGGGGGTTGCCTGAGGGGGGGTTCTCGGGGTCTGGGAGGGGAGGGGAGAGGAGGGGGATCACTTCTCATCAGCTCACACAACTCCTCTAATGTCCTGTTATGTGTGTTTGTATTTGTCCCTTTCTGCAGGTGGTGATGGCCATCAACTCAGAGCTGCTTCACAGGACTGTCAGGTTCGGAGACCTGGATACCATCTTGGCCAGATTTGTGGGGCTGGGTTTTCTGAACTGTGGTGGAGCATTCGACGGGACTCACATCCCGAGCCGCGCACCACCCCATCGAGCAGCACAGTATATTAATAGAAAGGGCTACTTTTCAATGGTGCTGCAGGCCCTGGTCAACCACCAGGGACGAGTCAGACTTTTGTGTCGGGTGGTCAGGTTGGGCACACAATGCCCGCATATTCCGGAACTTGTACCTGT